GCTTGCCTTTGTAAGGCAGCAACACAGGGCTACAGTACAGGTTAGACTTGACAAGTAGATTCGCCCAGTTATTTGTGAGCTGCCTTGGGTCCCTTTCTGGGAGAAAGATGGCATATAAATGAAATAAATAAAGTAAAGAAAATAAGTAGAATCCCCCTGTATTCCAACTCAAGTTTTGTTTATTGAATTTTTACTACATACTGTTACAACCAAAATACCAAAAGTATGTGCATCTTTAGTCCTTCACCATGCTCCATCAGAAACATTGGTCTTCCAGATGTTTTGGACTTCAGCTCCCCGAATTCCTAACTGCTGGCTAAACTGGCTAGGGCTTCTGGGAGCTGAAATCCAAAACACCCGGAGGACCAAAGTTTGGGAATCACAGCTCCAAATGCTAATACTGCTAACAAAATAAAACACTGACCAGCTAGACAGCATGGGGACCTGTGTAAAAAGCCTTTGAAAAGCTAGCTTCATTGTCAAGAGGCTTTTAAATTGAGGTATATCTATACTTTAAATGACCCATAAACTAGTTGTGTCCCTTGAACACTCCTTGGTGTTAAGGCTTACAAGTTCTTGGCTCTACATGTCTTATCATATCCCTATTTTCAGAATTGGGACCCATTTTCACAGAGATTACTTTGTCACTGAGCCACTTTGGCAAGTATATTGTTAACTTTAAGCCCAGAGAATTTGAAGTATATTGGGTACTTGATTACTAGATTACCTTGCCTAGCATTTGCATAGACTTTGTTTTTAATTAGTCACTTCCAAGGAAAACATTTAAATGTCTATATCATGTTAAACGTTGTATTATTAAAACCATTCAAGTGTGCATTATACTCAGGGATTCTCATTTCCTTATGCTGTAAATTATCTTGTATTAAAACCTTCAAATTACATACTTAAAGGAAAACATTGTCTTGGAAAACATTTTGCTTTTTCCAAAGAAGAAACATATCATAGTAGAGTGTTTCCTAGTATCCCTAAATGTCAATTTTTCTAGTTCCCACTAGAAAAACTCAAGAAAGTCCCCCTTTCCATTTTTTCTTTTTACTTGTAGGCCTTCAAATCTCTAAGTAGACATACCATGAAGTGGAAATAGACAATTTCTTGAGGTATCTAAGTGATAATGTGGACTCTGGTAGCTTTTAGCTTGGTGAAAACTGCTGGGATTGCAACACTCCAAGAGATGTGGATGCAGCACAGCAGTGAAAGTTCAATTGGGTTGTGTTACAAGTGTACGAAGTAATGAGACACTGGCCTTGGTTGAGACTTAAGACAGTGTGCACCAACATGTTGCCAACTTGTAGAAATCTCAAGAGACTTAAGAGAGGTGAGAGAAAGCAAGGAAAGGGTGTTAGGTCATCCAAGGCCTCTTCTTTTTACAAAATATACATGACGAAATCATCAAACAAATGCTAACAAGAAAATCTAAGAGGGAGCCTTCTGTCGGTTTAATACTATGCAACGGAGTGCTTTTTTAGAAAAGTGAGGCGGTATATGTTTAAAGGGCATGACTCCTGTCCCCTGGGCTAAATGTAGGGACTGATCTGAGCCAGCAACAACTTCCAATGTTATTGCAATTAGTATCTTTTCATAGTGCCAGTTCATGCTGTCCGGTGGATTGGACAGCAATTCATGCTGTCCAAACAGTCCTACCCCTTTCCTTTCCATGATTATGCTATCCTCTCTGGTTAACAAATGTCTATTTTTTTTTAACTTTAAAAACACTTTTCTAAACTATTCCTTCCTGCCTGGCTGCCTGTAATGAGTAATATTTGGTGATAGGCAAGATTGCTTTTGTGAACTGGAACTGGAATTGGTGTCTTCAGTTGCAAGTTGTGAGTACTGTAAGCTGTAATTTGACAAACATAGGTGTATGTATAGATAGGATAGGCCATGTGAGATTGCTGCTGCATTTCTTTCAAATTTTGTTAAAAGTCTGTCTGAAGTCTTGTAATGGATACAGAGCTTTAAGTTAGGGCATACGTTGCAGCATCTGTTAGCGTGAGTTAAGGTCATGCAATCTCAGCCTTATATAAGCATGTGTATAAAAGTATTGGTTAGTAGGCGTTGAGGTTGTTTCTTGCTCTGAATAGGCTAGTCTGATAGACATTTAATTGGATATAAATCCATCTGCTTTCTTGGATTGTAGCCTTGGGTTGCGGCCATAGTGGAACGGTGACTTTCTCGTGGGATCTCCTCCCTTCTTTCCTAATGTATCAGGCAGTACAGACATTTACATCTCTGAGAAGTCTCACTGTTTGTTCAGCTGTGAGCAGTTTGTCCCCTTTTTCCTGTTGTTTTTAAATGCCAAGGGAGGTTGGATGTTTTGCAGCTGTTTTGTGCCTCTCTCAGCCCACATATTAGACATGAGAACAGACATTTGGGACAAATTCTGCCATTTTCAGCTGCTTTTGATATGTGCAGTTTGTGTTGATGTGGCAGAACTGGTATAGCTAGCTCATCCCCTCCAGCCAAAGTTGAATCCCCCTTCTTTTTACTGAATTTCGGTTAGTACAGTCTCACCATTGTTCATAGTCATACTGACTCATTGATTTTTATCCTCAAGTGCTCAAGTGGGCGAGACAAGGAAAATGGGAAGGCTAGGAAGATCCTACAGTCTAGCCACCACATGTCACTGGAAAATCAGAAAGGGGCTACAGAAAG